AGAAAGAGAGAGAAAGAGTGAGAGAGATCAAGCACCTTTCAGTCCATCAGTGGCTTCGCTCTGCCATCCCTGATTCACAACAACCAATTTCTCCTATAGGTTTCCTATTTTGAAACTTCCGCCACCGCCTTGTGCGGTACTACTGGTACGTATCATATTATATGCATAATACACAAACAAAAAAACATATTCCAACATCTTCATCTTACATCTATTTGCTTGTCATCTAGATAAGGCACGGACATGACATGAAAGCCCCTTTTCTTTGCCGTTCAAATTGAGCCCCTAGAAGGCAGCGTTAGGCGTTAGCACAACAGGATAGCAGCCTTCGTGATTCATCGACTCATCTCTGATGAAACTGAACTACAGTACAGAAAATTAAATCTACACGAGTGTGCATATTATAAATATCTATAATACATATTTCAAGAATGTACATGTATACTGTATCGTAATTCACCAACCTGGAATAGGTGATTTTGGGTTAGGCCCCCCTCTGCGAAGCAGCATTTCCGCGGACATCGTGCATGCACTCACAGCGCATGGCACAGCTCTTTTGTTGCCAACGTTGGCCATCTAGTTTTCACGGCTGGCGCAGGTGTCCAGTGCGTTGTTGAGCCATCCTCTTTATGGGCAAATCTTTGTGAAAAAAAATGGATCAAGCAAATTCACATGGAACTGGGTCAGACTTGGTGAGAACAAACAAATCTGGCTCAAGATGGCTCAAGTCATTCCCAGCGAAAATTCGCCAGAGAACTTTCGACGGTTGTTGCACCAGGTCGCTGCCCGAGAAGGTTTGCACCTGTCAGAGAACAACTCCAGCTTCATTCATTTCAAGCCAAGAGATGCCATTCGCGCGCTCCCAAATCTGACCTATGGCACAAAAATGGTTATTCGGAGGGATCGTATTCCATGTTTGCATTTGTTGCAATGCCATTCGAAATGGCCGAACCATTTAGATAATGCAATCAATCAGCATGCTGCCAGCAAAAAAGGCCTAATCTATGTCAATTCATCTCCAGTTTGTCAGAAATGGATAGAAATGGGTTGTATAAACTATCCCCTCCAAGTTCAAATCGATGTTTGGGTTTACTATATTGCCACTATTCATGATATTAATTACAATCCATCCCGAAAAAGTGTGGATCAAAAATAGTACGATTATTCATATTACGAGTACAATCCATTGAGAAACAAGTGGTTTTCTCAGAATATTGGGAACGCCATTCCATCATGTTCCCTATTTGACCAAAAAAGAAGCACCAGAACTTTCGGCCATTTTGAAACAACACCACACAAACATGGTCATTTCTAATACTGAAATATTGAACTATACCTTTCCATGGAGTAGATTGGATTGTCCCAATAACCACTCGACATTCAAATGACAATTTTGTCGGATTTGCCGCACAGGTATCCACACTTTTTCTTAATCAAGTCTAATGTTCACTAATGGAAATAAGGCCATATGGGGACAGTTGCCCTTACTATTCATCATTCTACTGACATCTCAGCGTGCGGTCGTTACAAATTATCCATAAATATATATATATGTCATATATCATATATCATACCCTTAGTCATCTATACCGCTATATCCCATGCAAGTAATATCAACTTACAGTATATCCCATGAAATCCATTGTACATCCTATATATTATATGATATTATCTATCCCATTCTATCCATATGTATCACATTAAAACCATTTATATGTATATATATATATATCCTAATATATCCCAATCAATATATCCCAATATATCCCAATATATCCCATAATATTCCATTCTGTCTTCCCTATCTCCCAATATCTCCCTACAAATTCCCAAACATCCAGAATATTATTATTACATCCCTAAAATCGAAACATATTTCCCATATTTTATATCCATTTATATCCCAATATATCCCTAAAGGACTCCCAGAGATCCATTGAAGCCGCCTGCATTGTTTTCCTTGACACCCACCACGGCAGCAAAGGGATCACCGGATGGCCATCCGGCTGGGCGTACGAATGGAAGACCAACACGAACATAGAACAACAGCAACGGAACGATTCATAAATTAATAGTGGTTTGCAGATTTTGTCCTACTGAAAAACTAAAGTCAAAGTCACATATACGTAAGTTTTGGGTTCGTAACTCTTAAGAGCAAAGTTACTACAACAAACTAATGTGTGGTGTCTTGAAATAACGTTTCTTTGTAGGCCAATACTTACATATCAGGCGCATTCGCCGGCTATAAAATCTACATGATGACATTACGGGTCTCCTTGAAAGGTGCCAATGTCATTTTTGGGGATGGTTTATACCAGACATGTCTGGAGTGAAGAACGAGGTCGTGGGGTTCGGTTTAGGGGTTGTGGCAATGTAGTACAAATTTACAATAATAATAATATATATATACTGTATAGGATATGTGAAAAAATGGTGACATAACTAAAAAAGAAACGTGGCATTGCGAAAGACATCCGAACAAATAAGCAAGTGGATGCACAACCCCTCAGAATGCACATGGCTGGTCTTGCAAAGGTAGCGAGTTTGGGTGCCACATGGTTTGAATTGTCTGCTTCCAGGCGCCTGTTTGGTCATCGGTCTGGACCCTATTGGCAGCTCGCACATCTTGAAATCCAGATTCCTGAGAGGGAGCTGTCGGTGCTGTCCAGAGCAATTGCTCTGGAAGTTCCTTTTGAACATGGACAATTTGAAGCGTAGCCAAAATTTACATTTTTTACTATGGGTCAGTGGCTATGGATTTAGTAATTAATCATACCCATAGCCAGCCTAAATATGATTAATATTCTTAACCCATACTAGGGTTTACTAAGTAATATTATTAAGCCATATCCCATAGGATCCATGTATGCTATATATGGTAACATGGATCCCATCAATATACCCCATTCATGTTAGCATATATACCAGCACCATGGATCCTATGGGTATCACTAAACCCAGTAATGGCCACATGTTTTTAGTATCTAATTTTGACCCATCGCCTGAGGATCATCCCAAAGGGGACGAAATTACCAGGGACTAACCGCCAAGGGTAACCACCACGATCCGATCCGATCTGTGGGATGATCCAAGGGATCTAAGGGATTTTTCCTATGAAAAACATGCTGAAGAAATATCCAAATAGCATCAAATAGCTAACTAACACATCCAAACAAAGCCTAAATGTTGGCATTCCCAATATCTTGTCAACTAGGAAGTGCCCACATTCGCTTAAACACAAAAATGTAGGTTGCATGCTGAGGTATCCATGTAGCTCACGTCAAAGTAGCTGCTACACAAAAAGACACACATTTTTGATTCCAAGGATCTCTGAAATAGTTGAGCACCAAATTCACCAAACCCTTCATATTCCGCTGGGATCGCCAGACCTCAATTGCCTTCGTAAAGAACATCCGGTTGGAGAAGCTGACGATCAAAACACCACCAGGTTTCAAGACGCGAAAGGCTTCGCTCAACAGATCCACTGGGCGTTGCATGTATTGAATGGACACAGCCATGACCACCTCGGAGGATGAAGGATGCTGTTTATGTATAGGTATATATAATGATATATGTAATGATATATATATATATATGTAAAGATATATGTATATATATATTTATGTGTATAGATATATGTATATATATATACTTGTATATATATATTATTATATATATATTGATAACATAAACCCACCAAACATGGAGAAGTGATTCAGTATGTTGCAGTTTTGAGGATTTTCATGTGTCTATGTTCCTGAAGTTTTTATATTTGGGATCACATTAGGTGGTCACCTACTCAGCACCAAATGGTGAACGCAACTGCGAGGTGTGCTTGGAATGACAATAACTGGATTTATGTGTTATCAACAAGAATGATAATACAAAAAAAATCTATATAATAAATTCATGTGTAGTGTACACCTTTATTTGTGTGGCAAGTTTGGGGGGTTGTAGGATTCTGGAGCACCCCCACATGCAACTACTCAGAGATGCTTGTTTCCCAAATCAAGACCATTTCTAAGAACCAGAACCCTGCCATGATGACCATTCAACTTCTGTATCAACACAGATGCTTACACTTTTTGCACGACAACCCTTAAGCAAAGAGCAAAACAACGAAGGTATTGGGAAAGGTATTGGGACACCGATCCTTCGTTCAAAAACCCAGGTGATTTCCATACCAAAACAGAGGTGAATGCTCCAATTCAGATGGTTGGACGTTTCTGTACAAGGTGCCCCACACCTTGTGTGTTTGTTCGTTTAAAAAACCCAGTTAATGAAATATTATGTGTATATATATATGTATATATCTATACGTTTGTTTATATTTAAATGTATATATATATTTGCATTTTTTTAATTTTGAGTTTAAACATATATATGTATATAATTATATTTATAATTACATATATATATATATACACATATATATATATATATTCATATTTATATTTACCTATATATATATTTGTTTATATAGATATATATTATTTATAATATTATAATATATAAAAATATATACATATCCCCTAGAAACCCAACAGTTGAATTCGTCTCGGGGACCTGATGGAATGACCTAGGGCCAAGGCGCAGCATCAAAGGATGCTGGGGGCAGTTCTCTAAGACTGGGATCCTCGTTGAAGTTTCGGGTGAAGCGATCCTGGGCAAAAACCGAGGCCCGAGGCCGCAACTGGTTGAGTGATGACTACTGTATGTATGGATGGATGGATGGATAGATGGATGAATGGATGGGTGGGTGGATCGATGGATGGATGTACGTAGGTATGTAGGTATGTAGGTATGTAGGTATGTAGGTATGTAGGTATGTAGGTATGTAGGTATGTAGGTATGTAGGTAGGTAGGTAGGTAGGTAGGTATGTATGTATGTATATATGTAGGTATGTATTAATCAATTAATTAATGAATTAATTATATATATATGGTTCCCACCGGATCACAATCCTCAAAAACACCAGCCAGCATCTTTGGCGCGTGTGTTGGCCATCAATTCCAATTGGTTCATGCCATGCACTGTCAAGGTGTAGTCGCCCTGGAAAGTCGGCATTAAGGTTTGCTGCTTCTTATCCCCAACAAAAACAGCAAGCAACAAATGTGATCTGGTTGATGGTATACCTACTTAGAAAAATATGAAAGTCAATGGGAAGGATTATCCCATATATTATGGAAAATAAAACATGTTCGAAACCACCAACCAGTGATAAACTATAGGTAAGAATTCAAGTTCATGGGGATATAATTAGAACACAGATAGATATAACGAAGGAAAACACACAAACATGCAACCAACAATATATGATATGGGTTTGTTCAAAGGGGGATACAGGAAGTCACTGATGGCAGTATGTCCGTTCCCTGGCTAAACCTCATGTCTAAATGCAATGGCACCCATGGAGCTTTTTCGTGCACTTCCGTTGCTGGTACTACCCTCTGGTAAACAAACATAGCTATTGAAAATGGCCCAATCGAAATAGTTGATTTACCCATTAAAAAATGGTGATTTTCCATAGTTATGTTTGTTTACCAGGAGTTTACCAGAGGGTATAGGAACTGGATCGGTTCAAGATGTTCAAGGAAAATGATGGAAAATGTTCCTATGAGGGATTCTTGGAATAGAAGTACCAATCATCCCAATCATTGGACCCTTTTAAATATTGAAACAAGCATTGTGACTTCGGGGTACACCCCTATGACTTAGGAAACCTCCGTACAGTTATGGCCCTTTACCAGTTATAAGTCAGTGTCATAACCCCATTTATGAAATGACAATCCCATTTATAACCATTTAATACATTTATGCCTATTGATCACTGCAGGTTAAAGGGCCACAGAAAACGATCTCTTCCGGTTCAGATGATCCCCGATAGAGATTGCCACCAGTGGCAGGCCTCGCTGGGCAAATGCGAATCGTGTTGGGAGCACAGATCCAACACGTTGCCGGAAGGAATCAGCTGCCGATATAGCTCGGTCAGTTGCGCACGAAAGGCATCGTCAACGTGGTACCTGCCGGTGAGCCATGACTGTCATGGATCAGGTAGTCCCGCCCCGATTTATTGACCCACAACTCTTTTTATATCATTTGGTGATGTTTTGATATCACCGAAAAGTCCAGTTTTCACTTAGTTATAAAGCAAGGTACGAGTACCACCTTACCACTTACGACTTTGGGACTTTCATCTCAACAAGAATCTAGCGCAAGCCACACTCCGATTCGTGGCACCAAATAGAAGAGCTCATCAGGGAAACCGTCCTGGCAGGACCACGAACAATTCAATGGGATGATGGGCTAGGAATATGGCTCCCATTGAAATTCATTTGTCTCTACCTGAGATCCTCACACCATCTACCACTCCACCATACTCTGCTGGTGCTTTTTTTTTCAGAAAGAAATCACCAATCTCTTTTTGGCTTACTCCCTGTCAGTGTATGCCAAATGTATCAAAATGATTCTTCAAATTCACTAAACACATTCCATCATATTCCATCAAGACCCGACACATCACCCCTGTTTGGCCATGCCTTTGGCCAAACTTGGGTACACACATCAGGGGAAATCTGAAGGGAAACTCCCATAGATCGGACAAAGGTGAACGAAAAAGCAGCCTTTCCGGTTTCAACCGTATATGAAGATCTCACATATACTCCGGACTTTATATGACTTTATACTACATTCTCCCCTTAACATCCTTAACTAACGCTACACCTAAACCAAAAAAAACGGACGAGCTGCTGGTCGAGGATCATGAATCCCGTGAGATGGTTCAATGAGTTCAATCCCATCATCTCTTCCGCCGGAAGATCCCTTGTTTTATGGGAGAAAATCGATTAGTATATGTCACACATTGTACTGTGGTTAATGATGATTAATGATGGTTAATGATGGTTAATGTGATAACCTCATATTTATCTATGGGATAATGTATGAGATGTATGGAGAAATATGGTTAATAATCAATAGATACACAATAAATAAATCAATAAGACCTATGAGCCAAATAAGACCTATGAGCCAAACATGGATCAGATTTGGTTTATCACCAAAAGTGGATTGAATAATCCCATCCAGTTCATCCCTAGCCCCGAACAATTGGGACATTTATTCACAATCCACAACTGGTTGGTGGTTGAGCCCAACCCTCTGAAAAATATGACTTCGTCAGTTGGGATGATGACATTCCCAATATATGGAACAATAAAACATGTTCCAAACCACCCACCGGCATTAAATCTGAGTCAAGTGTCCATCTTCACCGTATCTCTCTCAGTCAGCGCCCGCAAACATCTGTGTCGTCCGGACCGTGGTCGTTGCTGTTGGGTGGCTGAGGTGGCCGAGGCTGCCACACAGGCAGCAAGGGCGGGCCAGGAAAACTTCACACCTGAGGAACACTTCACGCCGGTGCCGGAATTGTCAAATGACTTGGAGAACACAACGACTAGGCCAAGGCGGTAGGCGATGGAAGTTCCAACTGGAGGGTTGATGATGTCACTGGCACAGTGCATAGACTCAGCTAATCGGTACCATGGGCCAACAACATGAAAAAGCCTTGTGGTTTCGATTCATGTTTGGTTGGCAAACACATCTCAAGGTTCTACAGAAATTCCCCATTAGCCTCTGGTAAACATACAAAAAACTATGGAAAATCACCGTTTTTCATGGGACAATTCACTATTTCTATGGTGATTTTCCATAGTTATGTTAAAGTACCAGAGGGTAAATGAGCATTTTGCAGAATGGGGGGCCCCAAGATCCCCGACGAAGCCGATAGTAGCAGGGTCCCAATGTCGAACTTTCCAAGGCGCGCCCCGCCTAAGGAACTTCCACGTCCATAGCTGCCATTGCCAAGACCAGGTTTGATCTAGCGGGCCATGGCAGCACTAAATCTCAAAAGGGCCCTAAAGAGATGTGGAATCGGAATCAATGCATGTACTCTTCGCGTTCTCAATGCTGCACAAACAACACATCTATGATCATCTCTGTAGATACATGATACTCCATGATTATAATAAACTTATAGTGCAACTTTTACATATGGAGGTTTCCTAAAAAAGGGGTACCCCCAAATTATCGATTTTCATAAGATTTTCCATCATAAACCATCCATTTTGGGTAATTATCCCCATTTGCGGACCCCCCCATATAAGAAATTTATGAAATACTGGCATACTTGGGTGTTTCTTAAAATACGGCATCAAAAAGTCACCATGGGTTAACCTATACTAAGTCATGGTCATCCATGACGACTGGAACCAGTATGGGGGTAACCCATGGTACCATGACGACTTGGAAACCGATGAAATATTGACATGTTTGACACATTTTGACACCACCGATCAGCTACTGTCACCCATCCGCGCATGTGAAGCGTGCCTGAGTTGGCACACTCGGACATGCATTGATTGGAGCTGCAACTGCCATGGCTGCGACCGGCTCCGCTCGGACTGGAGCGAAAAAATCGGCCATGCAGTTGTGGTGGTGTCAAGCCATGAAATGGCGTCATAGGGAAATCAATGGGGGGTGGGGATATGAACCTTGATTTTCCATCTGATATATTCATAAATTATCATAAACATTCATAAACTAACCCAAATGTGTCTGGCCTGTCTCAAACATGTATGTTCTTTTTTTCCCTATTGGATAATTACATGTTAAACAGTTCAACAGTGACAAAGCTTCGATTCTTCGATGAGGTTCCCAAGTTTTAGACAGATCCACGACCGAGAAAAGATCTTTTGGCAAACAAACAGTGAATGATGCTTTACCCGGTTGACATGCAAACAAACACGTTTGAATAGAGGTGTACAAAGAAAACCACACTTGGCGAAACTTTATGCAAGCTATGTTCACAAAACAGTTCCCGCCACCAAATTCAATTCCGCTGCCCAGTGGCCGTTTCCGTGCGCTTGTCCGAAAAGTTCAAGTCAATGAGAAGTGGAGTTCGGCCTCTGTTTTTCAGCAGCCAGAGACAAATTGCTTGATTCATATCAGTTCCAACAAGATTTAGCAAACATCTGTGAGGATGTTTGAAACTGAACGCAGGTTGAATGTTCCATCCAGATATAACCTATAGTAAGATCTAGCAAGTATGTTTTCAGAGCCGGTCGTAGTACGTTGTAACCACTGGAAACGGATTTGAAGAGGTGTACAACTTACTTGGGAAGTTGCTCCGAGGTCCACTGAAGGACACATAGCCGTATCACTATAGTATGACCATGTAATTATGACCCAATGTTATCCAATGTGAAAATCGCACAACACTAATATGTCTGATAGCTCTGAGAATTGTTCATGATGCCACTAATATGGGTGACAACTCCGGTCCTGCGTGTTCCTGGTATGTGAAAGAAAACTTCGAAATATTCGGAAATGCTTTGAGGTTCAGCACAAGACTTATATCAAACAGATAAAGAACATTGCGCTTCTATAAGCGCAACCTCACCTCCCTCAAAGATCCTCAAAGGTTATGAATACACATGGTTCAAGCTTTCATTTGAGGCCCCGACTCAACAAGCGCAAGATGTCGCAAAAAGCGTCCACATCCGCGTCTGCTTGCAGATTGGCCTTCAGCCTTGCAGATTGGATTCTCCCCGAAGTGAGTTGTAACACATTTGATTTTGTACCAGTCTGGCTGGTAATTTAACATAGCTATTGAAAATCACCATTTTTAATTGGTAAATCAACTATAAATGGGCCATTTTCAATAGCTATGTTAGTTTACCAGAGGGTAACCCCTCTTAGATTCATCAAATGGATGTCCGTTTCTGACCAATGGCTTGATGAGTCCGAATGCGTCCGATTTAACATGATGAGCAACGACACCAACAATGTCCAGCTGGAAAAAAACAGAGGCGCCGGTTTGGTATACCATTTATCATTTATCACTACTGATCTATTGCATGTAAAGGGGTTGACCCGTTGACCCTCTATCAATCTCCCTCTTGGGGAAGATTTATAGAGGGCCGCTTCTTGCTGATTTCACCTTTTTTTGATATCCAAAATGCTGCATGGTGCTGGAATACAAACTTGAACACCTCTGAAATCACTCGAATGAAAACATATGTATATATAATTATATATATATAATATATATATAACGTATCGGCACTCCAAGTGATAATATGTAGATATGGTGTTCTGTCTTGGACAATTGCAACCTACTTTCGAAACCTGAAATACGCCATAATTTTGAAGTGACTCCTCTTAATTGCTAGAACCTCGCCAAATCTGTCAAAAACAACACTTTTTGAAGATGAACTGTGCATAATTTTGCATATAGATCCCCATGTTTTAGTGTTAAGCAATCTTCAATATTACCATATGTTCCCAGCCAAATTCCAGATTACCCCTCTTTTACTTCAAAGTAGCCATGGACAATGATCATTTGGTTCTACCCCATTTCCAGACACACCCAAATATCAGATTGTTGAGCAACCCTCCCATAAACTCCCATGAAATGCGATGAATATCCCATTAAAAAAAATAAATTTCATATTCACTTGATCACTTACATATATATATAATATATCATATACATATTATATATCATATATATATATATATATCATATCCAATATTATCCTTAAGTACATATCTGGAGAATCATGAAAAATTTTACATCATCCCAGGAAATCCAACAGGCCGTTGGCACCGACCACCTGGGCTTCCCTGACAGTGCTTCTCCACCACCTGCACCATTGGCCAGATCCGTGGCAACGCCTCGGATGTTCACATTTGTCATTTAAGTCATAGACATTTTTTGATATGTCTTCATAGATCTTCATAGATCTTCATATAGATCTTCATAGATCTTCATAGATCTTCATAGATCTTCATATAGATCTTCATAGATCTTCATAGATCTTCATAGATCTTCATAGATCTTCATAGATCTTCATAGATCTCCATAGATCTTCATAGATCTCCATAGATCTCCATAGATCTTCATAGTCCATTTATATATTTATGTTGTTTTTTTCTGATTTTCATATAGTTCTTTCAGAAAGTCCATGTTCAATCCCATAATTAGGATCCGGCTGGTGCTGGTAGAAAAATGCTAACATAAAGGGGGTATATTGATGGGATCCATGGCGCACCATATATAGCAGCACCGTTAGGATCCGTCATGGGAATGTCATCATGTCATCTGATTCAGTTTTACGGATCCGACCCACGACCTGAGGCAAAGACCTTCCACGCATTGCATCAGCAGCAAACACGTGAGCTCAGGCCTGGCCCGGGAATTTCACCCAAGGCCAAGCAGTTTGTTGATGATTTTTTTGAAGGGTACCCTGCGGTGAACATACAAAAAACTATGGAAATTCACCCTTTTATATAGGTAGATCAACTATCATTGGCAATTTTCCAGAGCTATGTTAGTTTATTAGAAAGTATGTACATATTCCAACTGCTTGGTGCGATTCAGTTGCGAGGTTGGTTTGCAAAATATCGTCAAAGATAGTCAAAAACTATATGAAACAGGAGGCTTTGTCTGAACCATGAGATTTTTGGAAGCCTGGCACCCAGCACCGCTGGGCACCCCAACGACTCGCGCATGCTGGGCCCGCCCAGGGCCAGATCATTGAACTGTTCCAAGTGAGGCAAGGCCTAGTGGCGGCAGGGAGATATCAGGAGCTTTCCGAAAATGCTGGTCTCCCAAATTTCCGTCTGGTAATTTGTGACCGTTGGCTATTGAAAATGGCCCAGTCGAAAGTTCGTGGATTTACCGATTAAAAATGGTGATTTTCCATAGTTTTTGGTATGTTTACCAGGCCGGGTATTCATTTTAATAGGATTGTCCACTGGAAACCGCCCATTGTCGGCTAGGAAACACCATTTTAGGAAACCTCCAAGTGCAACATCAAGCTGTTTGAAATAACTCGTGCTCAGAAAATAGGGGATGGGTTTGAAACAACAAGAAGCAGTTAAACACCATCCGTGTTGCTTGGGATTGGAAACCCTGAAAACTTCCGACCTCTAATGAAATGGCTTGAGCAACTGATGTCGTACATTTCTGTTAGCTAACAGAACTGGGATCACACAAACAATTCAACAGCAGTAGGTACAAGGGCCACTTGATTTGACTGCAGTTATAGGCGTGCAGCTTATGAACATTAAAAGCGTAGACATGACCTTGGTGCAGAGAATACTGGATGGTCCAACGAAGCATTATCCAAATTCAAATGGCGTAGAAACCTCATGGCGTGAGCCTCATGGACACATATATCATCACATATCGTATCCACTAATGTCAACCCCGGATAAATATCCCCCTGTGGTGTCCCCTGGCTGGGGTCCAACACCCAAAAATAAAATATTTTTTTTCAAAATAGAATTAGGGGTACCCAACCATGTAAGGAAAACAAGAAAAACCCACATAATTATATGTGATTTCCTGGATTCTGAATGCAAAATTATTTTGCAAAATTTGGCAAATAGAAAGAACATAAAATCGGGTTGCACCCAAGGCCTACAAATATAAATA